GAAGTGCAGATAACATTCTTTGCATGCCCTCAGGTCTGTCTTAGCCCTTCGTATCCATGTATCGCCACAGGCTTCAGTACTTCTCTGAAGTGACTCATAGATACTCCACGCGTATTTTTTTCTTTCTTATTTTGAATAATAACTCAGTTCCAAGCTGTTTGCATTCAAGAGAGGAATAACGGTATTGTCAAAGGAAGCTAGGGGGGCTTCCGTGGCATCGCCTCTGTTCTCGACGATCCCTTTGTTACTCTGGGCCAGTTTGGGAACACAGACATGTTTTGAAAGCATAACCATCTGATTATGCTTGGAAAACATCACCAGTTTTCCTTCCCCTGAAACAATGCTTTTATTTTATTTTTGCTTTCTTCTAGGAAGGAGATGATCTGTTCTTCAGATCTGTTTGACCAAACAAGACCAAAATAATTTCACACTGACAGAGACCAGAAAGGCTGGTGTTGCTGGCCATAAATACTGTTGCAGTTTCATTTGCCTTATCTGTACAGAATAAAGCACAACACAGACATGAAACAATTGGCGAATGCCAGCTACACAGATAGAAACTGTAGAAATTTTCAGTGCTTTGGAACATCTTTCCCCTATTCTAACTTTTTTTGTATCCTCTTTTATACACCATTTTTAAAAGGACAGACCATTCCCAGAAGATTACACAGAAACTTATAAGCTGAAAACAAAAGTACAATAAGCCATCAGAAAAAGAATGCTCTATTTACATCTTTTAACTGGTGAAGATATAACAGTTTGTAACTAGGAAGGATGATTTTGAGGGGTAGATACAATTCAGAGACTGAAGACACTTTAATCTTAAAGGTCAGTTTCATAACTCCCTGTGTAAGGGACTAACCCAGTTCCTGAAGAAGTCAGCTCTTGTTGGGTACAGGTTAATGAGAATATTTTAATACTTGGAGGCAGAGGTGGTGGATAGGATAAATGTCTTGGATTGTGCACAAAATTATTTAAAGTGCTCAACCATGTAAGCAGGAGGACTGCCTATTCTACCGCCTTTGAGCACGGCAATCATGGCCCAGCTGAAATTGCCAGCAAAATTTCTATGACCCACATTTAGGCCAGGGATTCACTCAGAGAGACTAAAAATATGGATGAGACTGTGTCACTAAAGCTCAATGGAAATTACTTCATCAGTGAAAATCACTTAATGGACTACAGTAAATCTAAAGCAACATTGGATAAAGACTGTAATAATAATATTAGATTACAGCTGTCTCTTAAATGATCTGATTTTTTTTGCTTATTACCAAACACAAAGACTCAGATTTTCAAAGGTAGTCACACACAAATATTTCCAGGCACCTCTGATGTAATCAAATAGCTTGTGTGTGAAATCAAATTAAGGGGTTATACTCAGGTGTGTTACTGGTCTTGTTCATCTGTGATATGCCCTTTAAATGTAGTCTTCCCTTTGATTGCTATTACTCATTTCTGTTTGCCTAGATTTGAAAAGCTGGCCATGGAAGTTTGAACAATATTTTCTTTTACCTTAGATAACCATTGCAACAGACTGATGCAAAATAAATTTGGCGGCTTGCTGGAGGTTGAGCAGTCACGCCTCTGTTTGCAATGCTGGTGTTTTCTACTATGCTTAGGAGAATCACGCATGCACCACCACTCTGGGACTCAGAGCGTAAAGCCTGACCTCCCCGAAGTCGTTCTGTGGGCTGATGATCCAGCCTTATATTCTTGGGGCTCAGACAGACAAAAATCTTGGTACAGTCTGTGATGTCAGATATTATTACTTGTTTTAATCTTCTTGCGCTCCTTACCATAGAGATCAGGAAAGGGCAAATGGGGCAGAAAGAAATCTGTGGGTCATTATTCTCTTATTAGAGGTAGCAGGATCTTGGGCATGGCTACACGGTGGGGAAAGCTTAGTGTGTATCATGCTAATGGGAGAGGCTGGGAATGTCCACAAGTCTCTGTGTGTCTGTGTGTGTGTGTGCTCTCATGGAATTAATGGTTAGGAACCACCTACGTTTTAATGACTATATCTAGGTATTTTAGGAATTAAGTTTTAAAACACATGTTTTCACCATAAAAAAGCCAAGATTAAATAATTTTCACCTGGTTATACCTACAGTATTGAGCAAATTTTGAATGTTCAGAGTCCACTACTGCACGTTAAAAACCCTTCCCATCCATCCATCAGTTACTTCAGATGGAAATATAAATGATGATGATACAATAAAGGAATGCCTCATTCATTTATAAATATTCTTTATTAAGGAGAAATAAATAATTCACAACTTAATAATCAGGATGTGTTCACAGCCTGAAAATGATTGGTATGATTTCTTCAGAAGAAAACTGTTTAAGTGATGTCCCATGCAGCAGTTTAGCAGCCGTACATATGATGTCACTCCTAAAAGTCCAAGTAAATGACGTCATACATACGACCACCAAGCCACCACGTGACAAATGACTGTTATAAGAAAATGAATTATCATTACAAAGAGAGAAAACAGGCTGCTGGGAATGCTGAAGTTCACTTTATACCTAGAATTAATAAAGGAATCTAGAGAAAGCAATTTGGCTTCATTATTAAACTATATCGAAATGAACAAATAGTGCCCCGGTTTCTGTAAGACAGACACCTGCTATTAACCTGTGCAAAACTGTGCTCATTTCTGCAAGAGAGAATCCAGATAAAGCAAGCATAAAATTCCTTCTGTTTTATTCCACAAAATATTGGACATGACGGACAAGCATCCCCAAATATTTTTCTTCCACCATCAAGGAGCTTGAAGTATGCTAACGGTTGACTATACGTGACATTTAGGAAAAGAAAGTATTTGTAGGTTTCTTTGCTTTTGTTTTTTCCCTCCTTCCACTAAATTCAGTAATTCTGCAACATTTATTTTGAGCTCAGTCAAAATATATTTCAAATTCTGGATGCTCTAACTGTTTGTTATTGATTTTGAGCTCAAACATTCATTTCTTTTAAAACTGCTATGTGTAGTCACCACTTTGTGGGTCACTAAACTCTTGTCCTTCAATACATCACATCTTTTTGCGAGAGCTCAGCATGATTTAGACTGGTTGCAGAGCCCCTCTCATACCTCAATTAAGTTTGAACTACTTTTCACAGCTGCTAGTGTTAGGACAGAGAAGAAAATGACTGTGATGCCTTAGGAAGGTCATTAGTGCATGGTACTCAGTAAACATAACAGTAATTTCTTAACCATCACAAACGTGCTAGGAAACAGCAGACAATTTCTTTGGGGAAATACCTTGACATGACATGTTTTACTTAACCACTGAATGTTAAAATTTTCCCATACTCAGTTGCTGTTGAAGCAGGATGGAAATTATCTCACAGTGAGATCCCATACGACGTACATTGCAGATTTTGGCAGCTGTTTAAACAAGCACGAGATTATCAGCCACAACAGATGAAGACAAGGCACTTGTAATGAAAAGCAACTCACGAATCTTACAGTTCTTTTCCATCGCTGCAGGACTTGTGAGGAGGCTTTACTCTCAGAGTAGCCTGATGCAAACTGCGGGCTTAAAGGAAATCTGCAGAATACTTCCTGGCTTTTTGCTTGCAGCTCTGATTATCATCTTGCAAGAGGCCTCTTTAGGGCAATCAGCTGCATAGCGACATTCTTATTTTTTTAAAAAGCAAAGATGGAGACAAAAAATCCTGATCACCCCTGAAACTGGGGTAAATAGAACAGAATACGGCATTGCTCTCCCTCTTGGGAAACGGTGAGCAGCTTGAGTCTTAAATTCTCACACTAATTCTCAGCATTTTAAATCATCAGCAGTTTGCTTTCCTGAGTTTTCCTTGTGTGAGAAGAGCTCCAGAACTTGCAAGTCCACTTCCTTACAGCTTGAAGCAACCCATAGTTACAAAGGGAAAAGAGCACCTCAGAACAACAGCTTTCAAAGGCATGGTCTCAGGTGATGAGACCCAGGGGCATCTCATCATCCAAGGCCGGGGAAGCCCGTGGGCTCCCAGCGGTGCCAGCCAGCAAGCAAGGCTCTGACAAAGCATGCCAAAGGAGGCTGTGGCAGATCTTCAGCAGCTCTTCTGGCCCACCGAAGGGTGGGACCTGCTCTGAACCAGATGCTGGAAGAGCCACTAAGCAGGAAAAGGCCTGTGCTTAAGGCGCCTGCACAGACACGGGTTTGAGAGACGCGTGGTGACAGCCGCTGAGCTGGGCGGGCGGCAGGAGCCCGGGGGAGCACGTGGCCGCACCGCCTCACCGGCGCGTACTGCGCGCCCAGCTGTGAGGATCACATGGGTACACCACGAGCGGTGCCCTCATCACGGTGGCAAATGTTTTACTAACTGGCTTCTGGAAACTTGAACCTACTGCGACTGTGTTCCAAAACACGCCAGTTTGTGCAGTTACTGAAAATGACCTTTAGGCTTTCAGATAATTAATTTTCCGTGTTTTGTGAACGGGAATTATTCACAAGCATTTCAGGAGCTGACACATTATACCAGACTGTGCATAGTTTAGTGACTGAGGCTTGGTAACAATTTGACAGATTTGGACTTAAGGTACTTGTACTCAAAATGAATTTATTTTAAAATACAACCTTGATCTAATGGTCCTAGTTGAATAATAGTGTTGCCTTCAGCTGCAGCATCCATTTTGTCCTGCCTGAGCACTTTGTGGTTGGCTCAGGACAACAAAATTGGAGTATGTGAGAAAAACTACTCCATCAATCCTCATTTACAGGATAAAATCAAACCACCATCTGTAGGCACTAGATGACAATTCTTACTTGGCAAAATCAGGTAGAAAACAGAACTCTCTTTTCTCAATGTCCTGCAAAATTGCTTGGTCACACAGGAAAGAGACCCAAGCTTGTTTTCTCCTCCTCATTCTCTGCAGTTTGATGCCCCTGGACACACTGTGCCAATGCTCCATCTTTCTTGCAGAGAGAAATGTGCACTGAGGAGATGAACTAATTGCTCCAGCTCACAGGAGCTCACATACTTGAGGAAACAAATCTCAGTCACATTCCGTGGCTCTCAGTAATTACCAAAAATGAGACGGTATCAGGAATAAAATGAACTAAGAAATAATGAACAGTTAAAATTTCTAATGGAATTTGCTTTGAATTGTAGAGGACTATCTGGTGATGCTGCAAGCATTCTGCATCCAAAAGCAAAGGAAGCCATCAAAAAGGAAGACAATAAGGAGTTAGTTTTACTTCTAAATTACATTTTGGGGCAACTGGTGCTTTAGGTTTTGTTTGGCAAAGGTAATTTATTATGGACCTGTACACAGAAGAGTAAAGTGCTATTTATTCTACGCAAAAAATGACATATGTAAGAAAGATGGTTTCTAACAGAAGGTACCAAAACCACTTGGTGATAGGTCTAAAAGCTGGAGACTGTGGGGTGGGGGGGTCTATGGACACCTTGTACCTAGGGTCTAGGCAATAGACCCTCTCCAATATTCAAGGAGAGATATGGCACCTACAGTGGGACAAATGGCACAAACAGAGAGCCTGGAGCCCAGAGGAGAAAGCAAGGACCTCAACAGGTTGTGTTGCTTTGCAACAACTTGCAGTCACCTGGGAGTGCAGGACACAGACGAGAGGATGACAGTAAACCATCAAAGCCATCAAAGAGGAAAGATCTGGAGGATGGTTTGTGGGGTGGGTAGAGAACAGGAATGGGACATCACCCTTGTGTCACAAATCACTTTGATTACTATATCTTCCTCAACCTCAGACAGTGGCTGACATGTAAGCCCCAGGGACTCATCGCTCTGGGAACCGAGGCATGCTTAAAAGAACCAACAGAATGGGAACAGTCTTTTTGGAAGAGAAAGAAAGACACCCTTCCTTGTTACAGAGCACAAATAAAATGTAAAAAATGAATATTGTCAACCAGCTACAGGTGGGGAAATTTTTTGAAAGATGACTGATGCCAAATATTTTTCATATGTGATCTAACAGCAGCGTTCTGGCAACCGACATCAAGGAAACAGAGCTTGTTCATGGTCTACTTCTATGGCCGTGGCTTCCCCCTTAGTGGAAGATAAATTAATCTAGGAGGTCTCTAAGTAGATCACAGTATGGCCACTGCAGTGGGGAAGGAAGGAATATAGACATTGGAACAGTGAAAATGTAAAGAAATTTGTGCTGAAGTTATCCATCGAGGTCAGAAGTTGGAGAGCCCTCTGGTGCAAAGATATCTGAAAGGAAGGGGATGCAGATCTCACTGCAGAGTTTCTTAAAGAAATCCTAGCCCTGGAGTACTGCAGGAATGAGCACAGAACCAATGTGGCACACACAATATGACGGGTGGGAGATTTAAAAGATTTGTGGATAACAGGGCAAGGATCAGCTCAGTCCTTCAAAATTCAACAAATTCATGCTGTAGCTCAGAGCACCTCAAACACTCAGAAATGCTGTTGACAATTTTAGTTATCAGAATATTTACAGTCCTGTCATTTGACTGGGGAAGAAAAATGGTCTGGAACTGTTCCTTCAGTTGGCATTGGCCTGTTATAGGAAGAATCACTGTTCTTTGCCAAGACCCTGTTAGGCTATGCAGATCCGGGATTCAAGCCCAGAAGGAAGCTGGTCCCTGTCAGGCCATTTGGTTAGAGAGATCTCTGACCATGGGTGATGTCCCAGCCAGTGCATTGCTACATGCATCCCTTGCAGGGCTATGTGTAACAGCCACAAAAGGTCACAAATATCAGAATACTCCAATACACCTCAAGGCAGAAGACTTTTGCCAAGCATAGGTCTGATTCCTCAAATCATTAACAAATTCTGGACTAATTACTTTTGAGATGAAGTTAGCAGAAATGTGTTAGCTCTCCTCTGTTATTTCTCCTGCTCTCCAGCTCTTCTTTGATTGAGGGTCCCAATCCTGAACTATGAATTCAGTATTTTACCAAAGTGAGGTGTTCTTTGCTGTTCTCCTAGGTTCTCCATAATCTCATTTCATTGTTTTCTTTTTGTCTCCTTCTATCCATCATTCTCTTACTGTTCTCCACTTTCCTTCCCTCCTTTTTATCCATATAAATTTAAGTGGCAAACAGCACTGTGGGCAAGTTATGCTAGGCTGGAAGAAGAGGAGGGACACAACCCAACAGACAAACCAGGAAGAGCAGTCTCTACTGTTCCCCAGTGTGTCTTCTGGCCCTGTTTCTATAACTTATATCCAGAAAGCATGGGAGCTGATGGGAGAGGCACACAAATGTTCCACATTCAGATGTTGGAAGAGAAGCTGAGAAGCAGAGGGGCATGAGGAGCTAACCAACAAAAGACAATTAAGAAGAATAAGAATGAAAGCTTTCTTCAGGAACACAGAGATAAATGGTTGAGGAATAAGGTGGCATCTGGCATGCAAGTTACTCATACCACACCGAGGTAGAGAGGTGCTTGTTCCCAGCATCATTCAGACATATTCTGACCATTCTGTAACCGAGGCTCTGGGCAGTATGCTCATTTCTGACTATCTGTAATGTCTTTGATTTTATGATAATTGCTAGTAATTTGAGGTTTCACAAGCAGAGATCAGAGAATGCATTCAACTTACATGAGAGGTATTTAGTCAGGTAGAAATGAATTTGCTACATATTTAGAACAACAGTTACTCAGCCATGTTGCATACATTGAAATAACGGTAATACTGATATTAAACAGTTGACAATAGCATTTGAACTGAATAACTAAACTTTATACTGTTATTTTCCATTTCAGTTGCTTTTCTAATAGCAGAGTAACTATAAACAGTGAAAATCCACAATTATTTAAGTCAGTCTAAGTCTCACACAACGTTAAGCAAGTTTTCAAACAAACACATAACTTTCCATGTCACTGATATGTTGTAGCCTGTAAAACACAGAAATGAAAAAACACGTGCATTACCTTCTTCAGACTTGCAGTTTTCTCTCACCAAGAAGCAATGGTTTCCAGTTCAAAATTTTATGAGATATCTTATTTAGAAACTTTATTAACCTTATTTCAAAATTTATCAGTAAGGGAACTCATTTCTTCACCTGTGCAGTATAACAAATATAACTCAGTACTCCTTATTTTTCTGAACGTCACCACGAGTTTAAATTTGGCAGGTGTCATGAGCAGGTCAGTTTTCTTGTACTTACAATTAGAAGGATGATCAGTAAGAAGCAACTGTAGCTTGTTTTTTTCATTGTGGAGTCTTCCTGGAGAGACACGTTATAGCTGACCCTTCTGGGAATTAAACAACAACAAAAAAGCACTATTAGACTTTATTTGTTAAGATAAATTCCTTGTCTTTGTGTATGAGCATCTTTTTAGACTTAAGGTGGACTCCGCGTGTGTGCGCGTCCCCAGCCATGCATGTGCCCATGTTTGATTTCACTGGAGGTGGGTATGCTTTTAATCTGGTCACCTCCGTGGATCTCTGCTGGTGACTTCAGCTGATGTGGGGTACAGCTCCATGTTACTGTGTCCCCAGCAGCAGATCTGGGTTAAGCTCTGTGTCTTTGCCAGCTGAGGCTACCTTGGTTGTCCTGATTCAGCTGCTTCTAATCTACACACATGGCTGCAGACCTATGAAGAATATGGATATTTTAAAAATGACCTAAAAAACCCAGAAAGATCTGGTTCACAGATAAGCATAATGGCAGCTCAAAAGGCATATTTATGGGGCTAGAAAAAAACAGAGGTTGGGTTACTTCTAGCTAGGTGAACAAGCACGCGTAGCAGGAAAAGAGAGAGAAACAGGGAACAACACCCTGGGATTACACACTCGCTAATGCAGCTAGCTCGTACAGGCTGCGGATAGACACACGGCAGTGTAACCCTCAGTGTAACCCTCAGGCTGCCGAGAATGACTGCTTTAGTTGCATTGAGTACTGGAGAGGCAGAGCATGGACACAACTCCACAGGCTTTGAAGGAACTGGATCGGCAGCTTTTTGGTTTTCTTTTTTATCCTAAATCAACACCCATCTGGCCTTTCTGGGAAAAATATCTAGGGGTCACCATGTATCATCATACTGCTTCACAGTTGTGGGAGTTATCATAGAATCATAGAATCATAGAATCATTAAGGTTGGAAAAGACCTCCTGAGATCATCAAGTCCAACCATCAACCCAACACCACCATGCCCACTAAACCATGTCCCCAAGCGCCTCCTCTACACGTCTTTTAAATACCTCCAGGGATGGTGACTCAACCACTTCCCTGGGCAGCCTGTTCCAAGCAAAGCTCTTTGCATTAACACATCATTTTTACTTTTATAAAAATGGAACTTCTGCATTAGAGGGAGAAACACGGCTTTTGTCAAGACACAGTGCCTTCTGATGTCTCATGGACCACTAGTGGTGCATGGGCTGAGCAACGTGCCTATAGATCACCTTCAGCCACAGTAAGACAGTGAGCACTCACACACCTTTATTTTTCAGACAGCTTAAAAACTAAGAGTGAGGTCTTTTCTACCTGGGCAAACAATCCTGTGAGCACCCTACACATCTGAAACTCAGAAACGTAATGGGAAAAAGGCTCACGGACTTGGATGCTTAGTCTACTTGACATGTAGTGAGCAACACAATCACTTGTGTAACATTTATCTCTGCAACAGCACTGTAACAGCTTTTCTCATCTTGACGTGGTCTGGAAGGTCACCCATTTTCAGAGGGGAAGAAAAATATGACATCAGTTGTAACTGTCCTCATCTAAAGCAGAAATATGTAATCTCAAAATGTAATAAAGGTGTGGCGCTTCCACTTCAATGTAGCACACATGGATGTCATCTCCTACCAGATCCAAATGGGAGTGTTGCAGTCACATGTCACTGAGATTACATAAAACACAAAGTGATGGAAAAGAGGGTTCAGAGGATTTGCCTCTTATAAGAAGTAGCCTTATTATTGTCTGAGCCTTGCCAGAACCATTCTGGTGTGCCAGAGGTAATGGGACAGGCAAATGACACAGAAATAATATGTAATTACGCTGTCCGCCACATATTTGTATTTGATCAGCAATGCTAGACAACTCAGTTGAAGCAAAAATTGGACAGCTAGATCAGAGGAAAATGCCTGGAATTGTCTGCATCTTCTCCAGACTATTCACTCTAGTGTGTATTGGTTCAAAACTGCCAAAAAGATTCATGGGCATATAAACAACGGGTCCTGGTCAGCTGCAATGAGCAGACATACAAGCATGAATGTGGCGTTCATACAGTTACACACTGTACTGTAAAGCGTTCTGTAGTGCGGTGTAAAGCCAGTCTGGTCGGTGCCTCTATTCTTCTTGCTAGCCTCAAGACTTCTGCCGCATCTATAGGGATTTGGTAAAAAGCAGGCAAAGGAAGGACTTTGCCTTACAAACTGTCAATAGTTTTAAAATACACATCACTTTCCACAAATGGCACAGAGATCAACACAATATTGTGACCTAGAACGCATAAGCAAAATCAATAGCAATTGAAGTTACCTGCGATACATCTATTTTTCCTGTACTTTGTGCTGGGAGTGCTTGCAGCACTATGTTGGGTTATAGCTGTAGCTGCAGGTAAATCTTATCCTCGTGAGATTTTGTGAACATTTGTTATTATGTACTGAAAGAGCTATTTAAAACGTTTCTTGCTCCCATCTCTCCTAATTAAAAAAAAGCCATCTGTAAAATACTTAACACATTATTTTCCCCTCTGTTAACTGTGATGATTGTGCCATATGATACTACATACGATTAAATGAGTAAGAATTATTTCCCACGCTAAATCTTATATAGTCTTGATATTTCTAGTCTTTCTTCTTCTAGCCAGCTCTAACCACAGGAATGGCTGACATGCTACATAAAATCCAGTACCTCTTTTTTCTTCCTCTTTCACAGGAGTCTTTTCCAATGACAACAATTTCAACAATTGTTTAACAACAATATTTTAGCAATCCTTATATAAAGCCCCTGACTAAGAAGTGGCTTTTCTCTACTTTAACCGTAAGAATGTCCCATAGCACTACAGCACACTTGGGTTAGCACCAGTATTGGATCAAGGATGATGATTGCACTGAAATGGAAAGGTACATGCAGGTAAAAAGTGTTGGTCAATGGGCAGGGTAGAAACAATGGGGAGGCAGAAAGATTCACAGAAAGGGGAGCCCCGAGAGATGGACCCTGGGCGGAGGAACAGACCAGCATCTCCACGGCTCTGCCCCATCTCCAGCGATCCAGGTTCAGGTGTGACATGACAGGCAAGCTGGGATGTGCCAAGCAGCACACTCAAGTGCCCTGGGGTTTGGGTCTCTTGTGCTAGAACTTATCACTTTTTTACACCAGCTGGCACTACCACCCATGGACAGCCTGCTTGCAGCCGAAGGGTGGCTGGATAGCCCAGAGCAGCCTCATGGAGAGCCCAGAGCAGCCTCATGGAGAGCGTAGGTGCTGTCCTGATTCCTGTTTCTATACTATTTATCCTTCTTCCGTAAGTCCAACAATGTCCTTGCTCGATGTTAAGATAATATAATATGCTTCACACATTTAAGTTTTAGAACACCCTTATTTAGTGATTAATCATAAGCGCATTGCTAAAGCCCAGTACTTTTCCATGATTGTATTAATTCTTCACCCTCTCTTGCTTATAATAGTTACGTATGAAATCCCCGTCTGTTTTTTAAACTAGAATATTGTTCTTTCTTTCTTCGTAAATGTAGCATTGCTACATGAAAATTGCAGGCATCTAGGTAACTTGCTGGATCTTATCTCATTCCTTTTGGTAGTCTTGGAGATAATTTCACTATCAGGGAGCCAAATGCTCGGTTGTGTGATGACTACTCAGTTGTTACTCATGCAGATCACCATTAATTTCCATTAGCTTGCCTGGTGGAGGTGGTGAACTGTGTCTTGTAGAGCTGAGTGTGTGCTATGTTAACAAATTGAAACTATTAGCCACGGCAAATAGGCAATTTCAGAGCTATACAGATCAAGTGACCACATAAATCTACTTTATTGATTCATTTGGATTACATGGGAGCTGCAATATTTGATGCTTCATTTTCCCATTGAAAACCAGTCAACAAGAAGGGGCTATTTTACCTTAGGCTTCCCTTTAACCAAATCCTTGCCAATAAAAAAATAGACAAAAATAGAAAGAAACAGAAAGTTGCTACAAACTTGTCTGTGTTTACTTTTAAGGTAATCACAAAGTTTTGAAAAGCCCCCACACCACGTATCTGAGCAGCCAATGTGATCACACACACTACAGAGAAAACTGAAGATGGTTGTTGTTAGACTGGGTAATACGACAGAGATAAGTATACTTTGAAAGAACAAAAAATACAAGAAATGTGTTTTGAATGAGAATTATTTACCTGGGACTCCAATAATATGCAAGCCAAATTATCCAGAAGGTTTTCGGAAAAGGCTGAACCTTTTTATGAAATGAAAGACAGTGAAGCATTAAAGGAGTTAGAGGAGCTGAGTCCTCCCACCTGCCAGGGGCACCTGGGGTGAAGGCCCCTTCGGAGGTTTCCATTACCTAGGCGGGGAGCTGAGGCAGCTAGCTGAGCACCGGCACCTAACTTCTAGGTCCCCGAAATTAAATTAATCCCATTCATATTCTAGGTAGACCTGGGTATGGTATTTCTGCATCCTCTAATGGCTGTTATTGGGAGGTGATTTCTACCACGTATTAGTAGCCAAAAAGTAGTAATTTTCCAGTACTTAGGAAGCCATCCCTAATCCTCCTCCTGGCTGTTGGCCAAGAGGTTTTATGAGGTTTAAAAGCAAGTAAAAGCAAAGAAAATTTCAGGAAGGGACTAGCAAAGTATTTCAGGGGATTTGTTGGTAGCCGAAGTTTGCAATACTTACGAAGACTGGATTGTGTCATTTCTTTCAAAAGCTTTATTTTTCACCTGTTTCAAATGCACCCTAGGAAGGTGTAAAACATGGAGTATTTTAGCCCAGTGTGTTAACAGGAATATTTGAAGAGAGGCGTTCCAAGCACTTCTGGAATTTAGCCTCTACAGGACTCCCTGTATCTTGTTGCACTTCTCTGAAATTGGTAAAATCATTCTGTTTTACCCAGGAATAGTTGTCTGAACAATGTATATGACCCTATTTTGTAATCTTAGGGATGTGCGTCTGGTTTAAGCTGGACATGAAGTTATCGCAGGAAGAATCATCTTTGTTTAAAAAAAAAAAAAAAGAGAAAGAATATTGTAGAATTC